GTATAAAAGTAGTTTGGTTTAGTGGTTAAGGCACTAGGCTAGAAAGCAGGAGACAGTGTTCAAGTACCACTTTAACCATGAAAGCCAGATGGGTGTCTTTGGGCCAGCCACTTTCTTTCAGCCAGGGTTGTTGTTGGGGGGGGGAAACAAGCGGAGGAAGGCGTGTTGCATAGGTTTGCCATTTTGAGTTATTTGTAAAAATAATAATAAAAGCAGGATATAAACAAACAAACAAACAAACAAACAAATAAATACATGCACACATACAAACACTAAAGAGAAACATGTACTATCATGGATATTTAAATTATAAGAAAGAAAGAGAGAGAAAAAAGAAAGAAAGAAAGAAAGAAAGAAAGAAAGAAAGAAAGAAAGAAAGAAAGAAGGAGAGAGAGAGAGAGAAAGGAAGGAAAGAAGGAAGGAAGGAAGGAAGAGTGCCCTTTTACAGCTAGTCTCAATTTATGACTGTAATGGAGCCTGGCCATTAGGGTCATAAGTTGTGACAGTCCTAAAGCAGGTCACCCATGTGACTGACCCAATTTTATGACCATTTATGTGGTGCTTCTTACGCAAACACTATGGTCATTAAGGAAATGAATGTTCGTTATGAACCTGTTTTCCAAAAACTGGAAATAAATTCCTTGACTTCGAGGAGTAAATTCAGCAACTTTGTCAGGTTCATCGAGGCTTTTCATTTAGTTTACCTCCAAGAGAAAATGCATGGAAAAACCCACTGGAGAGAAAATTCCACCTGGGATTTGGATGAAATTTATATACATACTGGAGGAAACCCAACATCCCGATGAGATTCAGAGAGGCTCTTTTGGTGTAGTAGAACTTTTATTTTCCCATTTTGGCTCAGTTTGCTTGCGAGGGAATATGCATGGGAAAACCCCGTTGGAGGGAAAATGCCATGTAGAGTTAGAGTTAGGCTTTCTCAAATTTTGATTGGAAATCCAACATCACAGGTCAGAGTTAGATTTCCTTCAATTCATGACCAATAAGCAACCTCAATGTTAGATTTGCAAAGCCTCTCTAGCTTTGCAATGGGTGATAGCTTTCAGTTCAGACTTACTTTTGGACCAAAGTAAAATGCATTGGGAAATCCTATTCTCAGTAAAAATTGGAGCTAGGGTTAGGCCTCCTTGAAGTCTGAACACCTGACCTCAAATTTCAATTTTCCTGGGCTCTGTGAGAAAAGTGAAGATGACAGCTTTCTGTTTGGACTTAGTTTTGGACCGCAGTAAAATGTATAGGGAAATACTATTTTCAGTGAAAATTGGAGCTATGGTTAGAGTTAGACGTCTTTCAAGTCATTGCAAAAAGAAAAAAAAAAACCCAACAACCTCAGGTTAGATTCACAGAGAATCTCTAAGGAAAGTGAGGCTGACAGCTTTCAGTTCAGATTTACTTTTGGACCACGAAGCTTTCAGTTCAGATTTACTTTTTGATTGGGAAAATCCTGTTCCCAAGGAAAATTTGAGCAATTTATAAGCTACATTTTCTTCCTTTCATAATTTTCTGAATGTATTCCAGTCAGGATTTCATCCAAGTTATGGTACTGAGACTACTTTGGCTCCCTTGGTAAATGACCTATGCTGGGAACCAGATATGGGAGGTGGGGAGTCTATTTGGATTCTTCTTCTTTAACTCTTAGTGATTTCCAATACCATTCACATTCTCATTTCTCATTTCTCATTTTATTAAATTTGTATACCGCCCTACTCCCGAAGGACTCAGGACGGTGAACAGCCATAAATAAAACATATAGATACAAAATTTAAAATAGAAATAAAACTAATTAAATAAATTTGGCTGAGACATTTTAAAACCCCAATAAATTAAAACCAAATTTAAAATTCCATTTAAAAGAGGAAAAGTTTAGGTCAGGCCAGCTTGATGGAATAAAAACGTCTTAAGCGCGCGACGGAAGGTACGCAGATCCGGAATCCTCCGTATCTCCGGGGGGAGCTCGTTCCAGATCGTAGGTGCCCCCACAGAGAAGGCTCTCCTAGTGAGAGAGCCAATTCTAGTGAGATTGGAGCCTTGTGATACTGTGGTGCCATGGTTCAGGCCTGCTTGCTGAATTATGTCCAAAAGATGGCATTGGAGATCTACTTGTACCCCCATGGGTATTGATTGTAGTGTTCCATAGGATTCTATCTCATTTCCTATACTGACTAACATCTACATCCGTGTTTCTTAAGGTATAGTCTAAGGGTCCCTGGGGGCCCCTCTCAGGAGTTCCCAGAATCAAAATTATTTGCCAGATACTAAAGGTATTTGGAACAGTTTAAAAGCCAGTGGTTGAAGCACCAAACTAGAAAGCAAGAGACCGTGAGTTCAAATCCTGCCTTAGCCATGAAGATGGCTGAGAGACTTTGGGCCAATCTCTTTCTTTCTCAGGCCAATCCACCTCAGAGGATTGTTGTTTTTGTTTGGAAAACAGGTGGAGGAAGTTGTGTTGGGTGTGTTCGCTGCCTTGAGTCATTTGAAAAAAATAATAAAGGTGGAATAAAAATAAATTTTAAAATAATCACTCTTCTCATTGCTTTAATTTGTTTAAAAAATATTTTTTCACATTTAGAATATGACTAAGCCTGATTTAGATGGAACTGTTTCCCCCAGAAAGAGCAGATTCACAGGATGAGAATGTTCTTTGGCCACGAGATTTACAGGGTTTGATCTGGAGGGGCATACATTAGCTAGTGGATGTTGTGGTCTGCCAGCGGCCAGCAGAGCTGGCAGCAGATTCAGACAGTGAGGAGGGGAGGAATGTGGGCCAGTCCTGGAGTCTGGGGAAGGCTCGGACGAGGGCTCTGTGTCGGAGGTAGAGAGGGGGCCAGGGCCATCTGGTAGTTATGTGCTGCCTCCAGAGCCTCCGGAATCTGACATCAGCGAGGCAGAAGAACAGCGTGAGCCTGTTCCCAGTGTGCGCATGCTCAGAACTGCCAGAAGGCAAGAACAATTAAGAAAAAAATGGGTGACTCGGGAGTAAGGCTTGGAGATGATTGGTCCCTCCCATAAGACATAAAAGAGGAGCAAACGGACGTGAGACTTTGCAGGGAGCAATTAGTTCATATAGTCAATCCAAGCTCTGAGAAGTCCGTTTGACTCTGTGCTCCATTTGGCCTTGCAATACAAATTGACAATTAGGTCTCTGGCAGCGTTTCAAGGGAAATAAAGGTGGGTGCTTATCAACATTACCCTGAAAAACTGTGTCAACTCAAGCAGACATCTGTCGGAATCTTCACAGACTGTTTGTGAATCATTACGGGCTGTGAATGACCATAATTCACAGCTGTCTCAATAAAAGAGACTACGATTGTGAATTATGCTTTCTCAGGAAGCCTAGGTCAGAACAGTGGATTTCTTGGTCTTGACAATAATTATCCAGATCTTGGTTATAATCCATCTTGACTATTGCATTACAATTGCCTCTCAAATAGCCTAAGAAAGGAGGACAGTAGTGATGTACCTCAATCAATACATATTTAACTTCTTTTCTTTAACATGGCAGCATCAGCTGTCACAAAAGGAACAGGAAGTATTTTGGAAGCTAACTTCAAGACTCAGCTGCTCTTACTACTTTACCAGCTTTCTTTCCATGCCAATGCAGAAACACATTCACCTGGAATGTCCTAAAATGAGGACCTTTTCAGTAGCACCTCTGTAATTTCCTCTCCTAATGGCAGAGACTGTCTCTTCTTTTTTCCTTCTTCTTCAAGAAAATAAAATAAAATTTACATTTATGCAGTCACCTTTGTTCCATAGAGCCTTCACTTATTCTGCTGTCTGCCCATTTCTGTGTTAATCCCATGTTTCTGTGCTGTTCTTTATACTCCTGATTGCTGTTTTATTTGATCCATTTTTATTTATTTTATTTACTTCACTCCCAGCAACTCTGGGCAGATCACAAAGTACAAGCACAGGAAAAAAATAGCAACAAAGCAATACAACCATAAGACAGAAACCAAAGATGGCAAAAGCAGGACAACCACAAGAAACATACACACACTACCCCAGCTGTCAACTATCCAGCCCAAAGCCTGTGCAAACAGCCAGGTCCTCCAAAATACCAATAGGAGGCTACCCACCCAGAGCACTTATTCTAGTGGGCAGGTACTGCACGCACGCACGCACGCACGCACACACGCACGCACACAAGCACACACACGGGATCCTGAGTTGCAGATTCTTTGTTAATTGAAGGAACCCAGAGCATGACTACCCTACAAGATTGATGGGAAATAGGCAGTTCCTGAAGTGATCAGGACTTATGCCATGTAGGGCCTCCTAAGTAACAAACATTATCTTCAATCACACCCAAAAGCATTTTGTGATTATTTGCTGTTTTAAGGACAGACAGTTTGGTATAATGGTTAAAGACACAAGGCTAGAAACTGAGACCATGAATTCTAGTCCTGTCTTAGGCATGAAGCCATCTGAGTTATTTCGAGGCTGGTCACACTCTCACAACCCTAAGAATAAGGCAATGACAAGCCACTTTCTGAAAACATTGCCAAGACAGCTGCAGTTGACTTTATCCGTTCACTCATCTTTAAAAGGACCTAATAATAATAGTTTAATGATATTTAATATATTTTGGATTATTGCTAGTTGCTGAATTTAGAGCAAAACAGAATTTAGAGCTGCAGGCTGGCTTTGCTGGAAACATGTGATGTATAAATGTCTTACCTTTAGAAATAAATAAGATTTTGTAGGCAACATTTAATGGTGAAAAATATGGTCCACAAATGTTTTGTTATCATACATGCCTTTCAGCTGTACAAAAGACTTCATATTACTTTCTGAAATAGAGTGACACAACTCCACCCCAGAATAGTCATAAACAAATACAATCATGATATTCTTGAGCAAAAAATGGTATTTGGTGCTACTACCAGTATATGAATTCATGCAGGTACTATATATGAATACATATATAAATTATTATATATGAATACATAGGGACAATATTTCACAACTGTTCTCCACCATCATGCTGTCTTCCTAAAGATTCTCCAAAATGCCTCCTTCACTTCTTTGTTCCTCAGGCTGTAGATGAGAGGATTCAACATGGGAATTACCACTGTATAGAACAAAGATGCCATTTTGTCTTGTTCCAAGGAATATGTGGAGGTGGGCCGTAAATACATAAAGAAGATCGTCCCATAGAATAAGCTGACAACAATCAGGTGAGAAGAACAGGTAGAAAAGGCCTTGCGTCTGCTCTGTGTAGAACGGATCTTTAAAATGGTGGTTAAGATAGAGGCATACGAGAAAAAGATGATTACTGTGGTGCCTACACAGTTTATACTCACTTGTGCAAATATTACGGTCTCATTGGTGTGAGTATCAGAGCAAGAAAGCTTTAAGAGTGGGGGGATATCACAGTAGTAATGATTGATCATGTTTGGTCCACAAAAAGATAAAGAAAAACTGAATGTGGTGTGTAAAACTGCATAGAAAATGCCAAGGAAATACGAAATAGCTGCCAGCCAGACACAGATTTTTCCTGACATGATCACTGAATAACGCAGAGGGTGACAAATAGCCACATACCAATCAAAGGCCATCACAGCCAGAAGAAGACATTCAGTGCTTCCACATACAACAAACACAAACATTTGAATGGCGCAGGCAGCAAATCCAATGCTTTTCCTTTCTGTTAAGAGAGCCACCAACATATTGGGCGTAATGCTGGAAGAATAGTTGACGTCTATAAATGCCAAATTACTGAGAAAAAAATACATGGGAATGTGGAGTCGAGAATCTGTCTTGATTAGCACGATCATTCCTAGATTCCCCACCAGTGTACATTATCACCAGTGGTGATAATGTACACCAGTAGGAACAACACAAAGAGGGGCAGTTGCAGTTCTTTTTGATCTGTGATGCCCAGGAGAATGAACTTGGAGACCCGTGTGTGATTCCACATAGAAATTTCTTCTTTGTATATTAATTGTTGGGAGGGGAAAAAAATGTAATTAGACAAAGATTGGAATTTACTGCTTACTTTGTAAGGTAACTAAAACACGGGACCAATACAATTTCTGCCTATCACATAGAGTGTGTATGAGATTATATTATTTTGAAATCTATAGATGTATGCCTTTTTTTTCTTTCAAATGTCAATGTAACCTAATGCAAGTATCCCCCCCCAGTTTATATATCCTCTAGCCATGGATTCAATGCCATCCCTTAAACTTGTGGTGGTGTAAAGATGTGTTAAGATGGAGAAAAATGTATAAGAGAAGAGTTTAACTCAATCCCTGGGGCTATGCTCTCCTTTCAAATTAAGGAGACTCACTGCTCCTTCTAATAACACTGAATTAGAACACAATATCCAGCTTGAGATCTCCTATATATTATCAAGATAACATACTACATGCTAGAATATGGTCTTCCTTACTATTCTACTTATGATTTACTCCCATTCTCTACCCCTTTCTGCTTACTATAAATACAAATTGTCATAATTTTTGCTGTGTAAAACCCAACTATGCCCCAAGCAGATGATCAGGAAACTGCAGTTTTCTGTCTCCTCACATTGCATTTAGCTCTGAAAGCATGCTATCACATGAGGAATTCAGTTGCCATCTGGAAAGTGACTTGCAGGGGATCAATTTAAGTACACAATTACCATTGGTTGGTAACCATTGTCTTGGTGCTCTGGCAAATTAATTTAGACATGCTGTTTATTGAGAGATGGATAGTTGGAAAATCCTATTATCTTCATTTATTCTGGTCCTGGCCAATGATAGAGCAGGGTCTATTTTCTGTAAATAAATAGAAAGAGGAAATATGTACTTACCTCCTATTTTTGAAAGACGGCCAGAACTTTGTGTATGATACATTTTCCAAATGTATTGACAATTTAACAGGAACAAGACTTCCTAAACCCTACCCTAAAAAGTTACTTTTTCCCATACTTGTACTTAATAGATTCCCCCACACCCCCGCCGAATTTCTTCTACTGCTTCTAATGGGAGAATAAATAACTATAATTTCAGCACTGATGCATCCTTTTCTTTGTTCTAAGGGACCCACATAAGTAATGTTATGGGACTGCTGTAAGCTAGAGCTTCTAGCAAAAATTTCCAAGGCCTCTTTCTGTGAACACTATTCTCAAAATATACAGCTTACCTGGGAATGAAATACTGATAGCATTGCAGAAATTGCTGAGTGAGTGAAGGCTCCATTTATTTAAACTCTGGTTTAAAAATTCCCTGAAGGTTCCCATTCTCCTTTGACATTTGTTTTTTTTCTGCTTGTTGATGCTGGGCAGAATAATGAAAATCATTTAAGTAGAGGATCTATGAGTAATTTATGCCACCATCCTGTCAGTTGAACCAAATTAAGGACATTTTTGTCCCAAAGATCTACATGTTATAAAGTAGGACAACTTTGAAATATTGTTCATACTGCTTGAAAATAATCTTTCTTGTCCCTTTGTTAAAAATAAAGATATAGTTCAAATGACAACACAAATCAACAACTAATGTTACGAATCCAACACTGTTTTCTTTTTCTAGTGTTGTATAATAAATTTTAGTTTGTTTACATTCTCAAAAACTCTACAGTTCTTGATGTCTTGATTGATGTAGACAAGATTTAAACAAGAAGAACCTATGCATTTTTAATATGCAGTCTAGAGTTATATCAACAATTCTGTGAGTTTGGTCCAAAATGTGACCATAATAGGAGAAATCTGGGTATGAGTTAATGTTTCAACTCTGAAATTACATCTTCCCCAGCAAGGCAATTGCAACCAATCCTTACTAAGCTCTTTTGACACATCTAAAGGGCATGAAGTAATGTGGTTTTGGGTTACCAACCTCATTTTAAAATAAGGGATGTCATGTTATTTATTTCTATCTCAAGCCACTTATCAAGATATGACATTTAAGTTCACTATTGACGAGGTCACGTAGTACTGCCTAGTATTCCAGGACAACATCTCCCCATCTTCTGCTGCCAACTGATGGCATCATTTGATGCTTCAGTGTTGTACAACACCAATGTGCATTTGCACTGCGCCACAATCTCCCACCAAGGATGCCACCTCTTTGTCCATTGTAAAATCTCTGATGGGGAGTTGGTTAGGTACTACTTCTAAAAGACCCTGCCTGGTCTTGGTTGTCACTGGGAGTTTTGGCTGACAACATGCTGTCAGAACTATGGCCTTTTTATTAATATAGGAAGAAAACATTCATAATTTCAATAGTAAAATAGTAATTGGTTTTCAGTATCTTAGTCCAGTCAGCTTGGGGAATTATAAATCTTGATGTCCACCCATCTTAGCTGACATTGAGAAATACTCTCTGAGTAAGCAGCCTTGTACCACTGGAATAATTTGCATGGCAAAAGCTCTCTCTTTTATTGTTTCAAGACTTTGCTGTTTCCTGTTTCATAGCCTACTACCCTCTCTTTCTTGGCATTTGTTGAAAGGTTTATAGTATAACAGAACAGTTATAGCTCATGAACCTCAGTCGCCTTGCTTTCTGTTTGTCTTAGTCTCAGCTTCATGGGTCATGAAGATGCCAATACTTGTACCACCAACCCAGAAGGATATGGTAAATAATCACTTGAATAGTTGAGAAATGACTTATAGAAATTCACTGACACTTGAGAATCTAGAATGTGCATTTTGGATGTATGTTTTCTTCATCTCACCATCATTACAGATTTGTTATTTACAAACTCAGCTCCTCTCCCACAGGAGTCAAGTCTCACAAGGAAAATCTCTGAGGAGCAGAAGATCTTGAGAAATCTCTGAAAGCAAATTATTAGAGGGGCAAAGGCACTCATACTGAAGCAGATACCTGATGAGAGCAAGCCTCTGTAAATAACAGATGGAAGAGAAAGTGCAGAGAGAGGTAGGCTGGGAAAAATATCAAGTTAAAAAGTACCTCAGCCCTTTGCAATTTAGATGGGGAGAATCTCAGAGTAAATAATGTGCATTTGTCTGGGAATAACCTAGTAATTCATTGGTTGGTTGGTTTTTAAACATCAGTCTCAAACTGGAATAGCTCCAAGACTTGGCTTCTGGAAAACAAAGTTATATCAGGGTTTAAAAAAAAAATCAGGAAAATCTTCACTATGTATTGAGATGGATTTTTTTAAAAAAAATAGTACTGAATTTTTTAAAATATGCATTTCTAAACATTTATTTTTCCTCAAAATATAAATTTCTCAATGTCCTTTCTCATGTAACATACTTTCTTTCTTTCAGAAAAGTATGACACAAAATGTGGAGAAATTACCATCCAGAAGTAGCTACACTCCAATGTATTATCTCATTTTCAAAATGTAAGCCAGGACAGGTCATAATATCAAGAAGAAATACCCTGAGCAGTCTTAACTACACATAGCTAAGTTCTATATCAAATTCTACTGACAAAGCAATTTTCTACGAAATGTTAATGGATGGGGTGCAAATCAAAAGTGAAAATCTCATAGGTGTCAATTGTTTGTGTGATCTTAGCTTTCTTGGAAAATCTTCTGAAAAGCCGTATGATGAAATAAAAATCAGTACTATGAGAACTCTTGCATGCAGCTTATAATTTTTCTAAAAATATGCCTTTTTTTCTGTACAGAAACAAGCAACCCGAGCGAAGCGATCCAGATTCTACAATGTCTATGTGAAACTTTATCAGGCAGCTAGTTAAGTCTTGACCAATTCTGGACTTTTCAGTACATCTGATATAAGTGCGGTTCAGCTTTCCAGGTCCATCTTACAGTGTGTGTATGTGTTTATGCTAGCTCGCTTTCTAAGATAAAATGCCAATGTGCATCATGGATTGATAGATAGAACCTAACTTTTTTCCAGCTGAGGACTGAGATATTTTACTGCACATAAGCTATCTTCTTGGTGTTGCTGTGACATTCAAGCGCTTTATGAAATATAATGCACTTTTATAATGGGAACAAATCTTCATGGTATTGCTCTAAAATAATTTCAGATGGTACAGCCAAAATGATATTAGGATGTTTGTGTCAGTAGAATGAACGAGACAGTGGTTAAATTTTAAATAAAATAGAATTCATCATCTCTTGAGTATGAGAGAGTATGACTCAACATTAAAGAAGAAAGTATATTCCTTCTTCACTCATTTCCTGAGGAGAATTTAACTGAGGTGATGGAATAAATGGCAGATATCAATTCAACTGTGAGTACAGTGAAAGAATTTGTTTTATTTGGAATCACTGACCGCCCTGAGCTGCAGATGCCCCTCTTTGCCATATTCCTCTTGAATTACAGCATCACTCTAATGGGAAACCTGGGCATAATCCTTTTGATTCAGACTGACAGACAGCTACATAGCCCTATGTATTTCTTCCTCACCCACTTGGCATTTGTTGATCTCTGCTATTCCTCCGTTATTGCCCCCAAAATGCTGGCAAGCCTCTTAGCAGTTAAGAAAACCATTTCATTCCATGCTTGTGCAGCCCAGCTGGGCTCTTTTTTGACTTTCATGATCACAGAGTGCTTCCTGCTGGCAGTGATGGCCTATGACCGCTACGTTGCCATCTGTAACCCACTGCTTTATCGATCCATCATGTCCCAGAGAGTCTGCATCCAATTAGTAGCTGCACCTTATATATATAGCTTTTCTGTTGCCCTGTTCCATACCATCGTTACATTCCGGCTATCATTCTGTTCTTCAAATGTGATTAACCATTTCTATTGTGATGATCTCCCGCTCTTGGCCCTCTCCTGTTCTGATACCAGCACCAAACAAATATTGATCTATGCTTTTGCTGGCTTTGATATGATAGTCTCCCTTCTTATTGTTCTTATCTCTTATGTGTTTATTCTGTCTGCCATCCTAAGAATCAGCTCAGCTCAAGGACGACACAAAGCTTTCTCTACTTGTGCTTCTCACCTGACAACTGTCATCATCTTCTATGGAACTTTGATCTTCATGTATTTGCAGCCAAGCACGAATCACTCCCTAGGCACCGATAAAATAGCTTCAGTTTTCTACACACTTGTGATCCCCATGTTGAATCCCATGATCTACAGCCTGAGAAACAAGGAGGTTAAAGAGGCCCTGAAGAGAAGAAGAGGGAGAATTCTGGTTCTTCGTTAAAGAATGGTTATTTCCCCACTCCAAAGAAAATTTATTTCCATCTGTTTCATTCTAAGTATGAAATAAACTTTAGTTGTTGGTTTGGACTAGCTCACTGCCCAGGATCTGATTCCAGGAAGACATATGGTTTCAAAGAGAACATACCAGGGAATCACATGCTAGGTGAGGTGTTCATGTTGATCCATCCTATTAATTCCCTCATCCTTTTTCTTTGAATGCTATTCTGTCCCTACCTGTTCTTCAGCTGGAATTATGCAAACACCCACATCTAACTATAAGGTATATGATGAATGTCTTCCAACTGGGCTTTTAGCTTTCAAAATAACACCTATATGATTATGTTACAAAGGCAAAAGCTGCTGTATCTATTTTATGTGCTTCTCCCTACTGCTTTAAGACTTCTTCACTCCATATTTCTGCCTCTACTCTCTCGTTAGAGTCATCTGTCCATAATCACACTGCTTTGCATGAATGCTTCCAGAATGTCTTGAATGTCCTGTACAATTATCTATCTATCTATCTATCTATCTATCTATCTATCTATCGATCGATCTATCTATCTATCTATCTATCTATCTATCTATCTATCTATCTATCTATTGGTTCGATTTATATGTCGCCCTTCTCCGGAGACTCAGGGCGGCTTACAATGCGTTAAGCAATAGCCTTCATACTTTAGCTCTGTAGTTCCTCAGATAGGATGTTAAGCTGGTCAGTTCCAGCCAGGTCATTCCAGGACTCAACCTGAGCACATATATTTA